ATAGTAGAAAATTGTCTATTTTACATTTATTTTTGTTCTGGAAAAAAAAATTATTTAAGCGGTAATACTTGTACATATTGGTCATTTAAAGACAAATAAAGTCAAAAATCACATAAAAATTACATTTTAATGTGATATTTATCCGATTTTAGACATATAATGAGATTTTAAAATAAAAATTGAAATATTATGTCTTTGATGAGTAAAGTCAGATAGCCTTGATTCAAACTTGTTGTTTTGCAATAATTTGTCATTGTTTTAGTGGCATTAATTTTCTATTCAAATAATTGTTTTTATGTAAAATATTATAAGACCCTTAAATTTTATACTTTTCAGATTATAACAAATTTCTTAAAATATACAATGGCCGATGTATATTTTATAAAGGTTGATATACTGAGAGCAAGCCAAAAGACTTGCTCTCAGTATATCATCCCCCCAGGTCAATGAACCCTTAGATTTTTTGCTAGGAGTTCTAGAGATTAAATCATCAAAAGGGCAGGATCAAGCTATAGCTATTCAGAACATATTAGAGTATTATGAACTCACTGACCAGATCATTGGATGTAGTGCCGATACAACGGCCTCTAATACTGGAAAATACAAGGGGGCAATTAAGTTCTTGGTGGATCATGTGCTTAAAAGACCTGTGCTATGGCTGCTCTGTAGGTAATTAAGTTATTTTGATAACATATTTTAATAGTTTGTTGCACAAAACTGTTACAAAATTATTACATTTTATATCTTTTGAAAATTGATCTTTAAAAGCAACATATATGTGAAAGGCAAATTTCCCATGCAATGGATTATATTCAAGGTTCAACAAAATCTCCATCACGTGCAATATATCAAAATTTTCAAAAAGTCTGGCCATAAATAAGAGAAAGGGCAAATAATATTGATTAGTTTCTTTTTTACAATTATGGGAGAGACGAGTATATGGTAGGTATTGATTTTCATAGAAGGGTATTAGATACTAAGTACTTCTGCATAACAGCCCTAAAACAAGATTGCTTTCAAAGGGGAGATTATAAAGTTCTTAGTGAGCTAATAGTAGTTTACCTTGGTTGCCATGTACCTGGTTTCCAGTTCAAACAACCAGGTGCCCACCATCAAGCAAGGTTCATGGGTGATTATCTATACTTACTATACTTACAATACAGCTGACTTCAAAGATTAATTTAATGCTGAATAAAAGTGAGAAAGATATGCTTGAACTGTCAACTGACTTTATTGTCACATTTTATGGAGCATACTTTTTAAAGTCTCCTATGGTGGCCCAGGCTCTATCACACGATTTGGATGTTTTTAAGTTAGCTTATGAAATGATGAGCAATAAGCTATATATATATATATATATATATATCTAAGTATGGCCCCCTGGGAAAGCTGCTCTATGTAAGCCTGGTCCATCATAGTCGGTACCTGACCCCACAGCTAGTTATTATTTCAATAGTAAATAGACATTTAGAACTGAAGGAAAGAGCTGGGCTACCTCAGAAACTGCTTGGTTTTAATTGTCCGTAACCTGATGATTTTAAAAGGGAACAACCTCAACCTCCAACTGATGTAATTCTCATATCAGTTTTGTCCGACTTTATTACTAAGGAGCCCTGGCTGCTCTTCACATACCTAGATATAAATACGGGAGTATTCAACACATGGATAAAGGATAACATTGAAAATGATTCCGACAAACATTTTCAACATCAGATCGAGAATCTAGAAGTAGTAAATGGCAAGGCTAAGCACCACATATAACTTGTGCAAGATTTTGTGGCTGAAAGTCATGAAGAAGGTTTTCTACAAGATACATTGTAGAATGTGCAAAAAAACCGAAAAGAGGTTGGAGAAGCCATGAAAAAAAGTGATTTTTTGTAATTTTTATGTGATCTTTGACTTTATTTGGCTTAAAATGACCAATATGTACAAGTATTACCGCTTAAATAATTTTTTTCTCCAGAACAAAAATAAATGTAAAATAGACAATTTTCTACTATTTAATCTATGAATTAGGGGCACCGAGAGGAAAGGGGGCGAATAATTCCATGCAATCTAGCATATAAAAATACCTTGTACTGGATCCCCTTGACTTGGAGACCCAAAAATTTTTTTGGTGGGTCCTGGGACCAAATAAGAATGATTGAGGTAGGATGCATGTGAAATTTTTTTGGTCAGGTTAAAAGTGGAACACCCTAATATATATTTATATATATATATATATATATATATATATATATATATATATATATATATATATATATATATATATATATATATATATATATATATATATATATATAAACAAAAAACAAACCTCTGCACAATTTCACTTTTGAAACTTTATCAAAAACTATTATTTTCAAGTTAATTGATGTTCGTAAAAACCTCAAATGAAATTTGTCTATAATGGAATAAGCTGACAATAGCATGAATTTCGGGAAAATCACTGCAAAGGAAAATAGAAACTGTAATTATAATTATAAGTTTGTGAATAAATCAACGCAAAGTACTATTAAATAGACTTATCTTTGTAGTTGTACTTTATAAGTAGCCGGGATAGTATTGTTAGCAGTAGAAATTGTATTAGAAGTAGCAAGAATAGTATTAGAAGTAACTGGGTTACTATTAAATGTAACAGGGATAAAATATTTGACTTATTGCTAAAATACGTTGAATTTAAGAAATCCGGAAGACAAACTTTGTAGAAGTTTTCGAAAGAGTGAAAAGGGCAATATAGTAATTTGACACACTATCAGAACCTATCTGCGAATTGTACTTCCTAATAGAAAGAAAGTTGAAACAAATGGTATTCAATTATTTGATAGTACAGAAAAATCCAGTAGTAAAAGTTCGGAGGACAGATGAGAGATGGTCACACCGTTTCACTCAGCTAGCACACATTGGTTGGAAAAATGTTAGAAGAATGTTGGGTACCGTAGTTTATCCTCCTCCGGCTAATTACCATATATTTTTTGCAAAACATTCTCATTTGATATAAGTATAAAAATACATAAATTTAGAGTTTTCTCGATGCCTGAAGTGCCATATCTGTAACATCAAAAAACCTTGTCTACGCTAATGATATGCATATATATATATATATATATATATATATATATATATATATATATATATATATATATATATACATATATGTATATACATATATGTATATATATATATATATATACATATATGTATATATATATATATATATATATATATATATATATATATATATATATATATATATATATATATATATATATATATATATATATATATATATATATGTTATATATAAAACCGTTAAAGACTAAACAAAATCAAAATTTTTTTTTATTTTTAATTGTTATTTAGATGCCCCAAGAAGACCAACGGTCTTGTCACCGCGGAAGAGCATTTAACCAGAAAGTTCACGCCTCCTTACTTACCGTGACGCGAAAATATGTCTAAGGCTCATTTCGAACCTGTAAATCAACGCAATGATGCAAAAATCAAAACATTAGTTTCCATATTAGTCTCAATCTAACTTCCGTCACCCTGATTCTTTCATTTTTAAAAAATGAAGTGCTTCTCTCATTTTTGTGTTGAAATTCCTCTACTTTTAGTATATTTTTCCTTCAAAATTACCACGACAACGTTTTGAATATTCTGCTATTGCTAAATTTTACCATTATCTTTCCAATGTATTTTTTTAATGTTGGTAAATAAGAGATAAGTTTGTAAATTTTTTTCACCAATATGACACGCAGGAGTGTTCAAGATTTTATACATATGGGTAAAAATTTATACGAAGAGGTGTTTCATTTTTTTATGATAATTATATGTTACGAATTGTTTGTTGATTTAAAAACTCTCGTGCAACCAAATCTTTAAAAAATTTTTCTTAACTTCGGGCTGATTCCTGTAATTTTTCTTAACTTCGGATTGATTCATGGAATTCACAGTAAAGATATAATATATTTTGATAACGTGGATAAATTTTGAGTTTCAATATTTTGTTATTTGATATAATTTATGTAATAAAAATCCTTATTTGACCTTAGCGTGAAATTTAAATTTCTGGAGTTTGGTTTTTATATTGCATTACAATTCTCAATAAATATTTTAAATTATAACATTTCTTTTTTTGGGTCTTAAAATAATAAGTAAATTAAAGACTTTTAATGTTATATAAAAAGTTCAACTGTCTTTGTAAAGTTATTCTTAATTTTTATTAACTTTACAGCTTTTAATTCATTTTAATGAGACATCCCCATCCCCCAGGACCTAATCGTTGACCCTATTCGAAAAATTTATAATTTACAATAACTTAGGTATCTTAATTAAATTTCCGGAAAAATTTTTAAATCAAAACATAAAGCGTTCAAGCTTTGAACTGATTTTTTACTTTTTGAATCTAATGAAAAAAGCCCGCGAATATTAAATTTTTTATACATTTCGGAACTATTTTGTTAAATTTTTCATTATCTTTAAATCATAGGTAAACTTGAAGGTATAAAAGTTTTTAGTTCAAAAAAGACTTTTTACAAACCTTAAAATTTATCGGTAAATAAATTTTATTTGTTTTTACACTAAAAGAATAAAAACAAATTAACGTATAACAGTTAAAAACTTCGCAAAAACGGAAAGAAAAATACTTTTTATTTTTGCACAGCAAAAGATTACAAAAAATACATCTATGTTTCCGTTTAAGTGAGCACAAAAAAAACAATACAAAGGAAAAACAACAAAAACAAAAAACATGACGTTACTGGATTAAAACGTATTCGAAAAACGTCACTTTAAAAAATAAAAGTTTCAATAATCCATTGCTTAACAGGAATCAAAAAGCAACAGTATAAAAATAGATTAATATTTAGAGTCGACAGAAAAATTATTATTAAATTAAGAATGAAGTATTTAAGCAAATAAAAAAGTTTCATTGATGAAACGAATCAAAATGGAAGTGCACTTTTGATTTAAATAAATATTATAATATCAAAAGTACTTACGTTATTATTTATGTTTCCCCCAACAATTGACTTGCTCACTATATAATCGGCACACAATGTTGTTGATAAATTTAAATAAATTTTATTAGTTAAATATGCTTATATTCACGTGAAAAGTGAAAACGTTCACTACAACAAATAATATTTGCCAAAATAATAGTAAAAATCAATTTGTGTATAATGTTAAAATTTCTCAATTTTGATCAAATAAGATAGTGTTTATATAAGTTATGAATACAATAGCTCTTTAAAAGTCAATGCTTTTTGTTTAACTTCCACGATGCAAACAGGACGTTTTAGAAATGGCGGAGGAGAGAGCTTGAGTATGAGAACAGCCATTTTGTTTTTGTAAACGTCATAATCGCATCAATATAATCCTTTTTATTGTTATTATGGACTTTATTGTTATATGTGTTAGATTTTTTATAGTTATTTGTTTGCTCGAATCTTTTAAAATTATTAATTTTGAGAACAAACACTTTTTTGAATATGGTTCAATCAAACTTTGGATTTCTTATCGTTTACATGCCTTACCATACGTACTCAATTTTTGAAAATAAAAATTGATGTTGTGACATTTAAAATTTATATGTTACATTTATTTGCGGCAATATTGAATGCGTTTTGTTTGTAAGACATCTTAAATAAAGGAATATAAACACATTTATTTATTTCTTTTTTATATATAATATTTTTTATTTATATTTGTTACATTTAGAAAAGTTATATAGTTGCATGTTTGAAAGACATCTTAAATAAAGGAATATAAACACATTTATTTATTTCTTTTTTTTATATAACATTTTTTATTTATATTTGTTACATTTAGAAAAGTTATATAGTTGCATGTGCTATTGTTGCTTCTCATAATCAATGCATAAATTCTCGCATTATTATTTTCATATTATTTTCAAAACTTTAAAAAGTTTACTAATTTTATATATAGACAACTTTTGGCCATAGGCTGCTTTTATGCCCCGCAGTCTTAGCGTTTGAGGTTGTTCTTGACTTGCAAAGGTCAATTAATACAGTAGATTGGAACAAAATGGTATTAGAATTATTATTTGCTAATAGTTTTAATCAAATTTTCTTAAAGATGTAGTTGTTTTCTTGAAGATGTAGTTGTTTTCCTAAAGTAGTAGTAGTAGTAGTAGTAGTAGTAGTAGTAGTAGTAGTAGTAGTAGTAGTAGTAGTAGTAGTAGTAGTAGTAGTAGTAGTAGTAGATGTAGTAGTAGTAGTAGATGTAGTAGTAGTAGTAGTAGTAGTAGTAGTAGTAGTAGTAGTAGTAGTAGTAGTAGTAGTAGTAGTAGTAGTAGTAGTAGTAGTAGTAGTAGTAGTAGTAGTAGTAGTAGTAGTAGTAGTAGTAGTAGTAGTAGTAGTAGTAGTAAAAAACTACACTCTTTTTTACGTAAATATTTAAATATGTAACTTATGAAAATTGATATTATTATGTCATTTACATTTAATGTAATAATTTTGGTTGTATGGCGTTTTGTATAAAGGTCTGCATGTATAAATGTCGGTATGTTAAGTTGAGTTTGCTGGTTCTGTAATATTCTATGCTTAGCAGTGGATTTTATCCAATTCGATAAAAATCGGTGAGAAGACCAAATAATGTCTTCTACTTGCCCCACTAGTGTTTTTATTTATAAACTTTTATATTGTAAAAGTTATTAAACGGCAAAATACACAAACAAAACAAAAAAATCGTTCGGATTTTGCTACAGAGGATTTACATTTAGAAGATATAACATTTAGAAAAAAAAAACATTTAGATATAACATTTAGAAAAAAAAAAACCATTACAACCTTTTTATACCGATTGTAATGATTCAACTCTTTTTAAAAGGGTATTCTAAATAAGTAGAAATATATTGCTGGCTGAGTAACGTGGCAGTGTAAGTTGTATATGTGCTAGTATTTGGCAGTGATTTGTTGATTTTATTAGAAATGGTGGCTGGAATGTTTCTTACAACTTTAAAAGAAGCTGAGTAGTGTACCTAATGTAAAATATCCTTTACCAATCAATCGATGGCGGAAGAATTAGTACTGGCTGCGTTAGGAAACCTGGTAATAATGTCTGTCTTTTCTGTTTTTTGTTATTGGAGCCTGATGTTTATTTTCACAGCATTGTTAGTAACTGACCAAGTTTTTGCTAATTGGATGGATGATCTGCCAACGGTTGACGGTCAGTAAGTTGAGTTTGCGGGTTAGTGTTGGTTTTTTTAAGAGCTGTTACTTTTTCAAGTAGTGTTTTGACAGTTAAAGCAAAAGAGGGGATCATAGCGTTGCATTTTTTGTGTAGATAAGCAGCCTTGTCTCTTCCAGGACCTGGCCAATTTTCAAGCTACTTTGTTGGGTTTACAGTAGCTAGAATGGATAATGTTTTGTTAAATTTGTTGGTAAGCGTGTTAAAATGTTGAGATTTTAATTCAATATGTTTGCGAGATTTCACTACTGCGACTCATGAGGTTTATAGTTTAGTTGGGTATTGGTGTTGGTTAAATTGTAGTTGGTTAATAAGTTGTTTAATAATTAAAGTTTTATTCAATTTTTTTTTTTATTTGCATAACTTCATGAAGAAGACAAATAAGTTTTACAGTTTAATTGAATTTTACGCCTAACTCCAGTAACGTGGTGGGGGTCTCTATGTGGCGGTTGAGTACTTAATTGATCTAGGAGATCGTACTCTTATGGAGGCTTATGGCCGTAATACTGTTGTAATGCAATTAAATACAAATACATATGAACCGAAGTAAATATGACTCCAGTTACAGGCTTATAAGGGAAGACATTTTAAGTAATACTTTTTAAAATTACTTTTTTTTATGAGTTGTTATTTTAAGAATGTTTAATAAACAGTACATACATAGTATAAAACGCGCTGAAGCCAGTTTTGAAAGTTAGCCGCCATTTTGGTTAACCCAAAAACACTGTTATGTTTTGCTCGGAAGTTTATATTGTTAGTAGAAAACTTTGCTGAAATTATGTCAAAACATTGATACAAATGATTGAAAAATTTGTCAGTTGTTTCCGAAATTGTATTATACTACAAACATAGGCGTAGAGTATGGGGTGCAACGGGGGCAGACTTCCCCCCTTGAGTTAACCTTGCCCCCTTGAAAATTCGTTTGCCCCCTTGAAATTTTATCTAATCTTATAATAAATATTATTTAAATTTTTTATTTTCAAACAGAGGAAGAAATCAGAGAAAGAAATTAATTAAAAAGCGAAAAAAGAAATCATCCTTTGCTATAAACATACTCAAAAAATTGTTTTTAAGATAAAAACTTGAAAAAGTAGTTTAATTTTTGCATATAAAAATACGTTTTTTCGATAAAATAAAACTTTAGATTGTCTTTTGATCTCAATTTAAAATTTTTTTCACGCTGTATACTAGTGCTTTAAAGTAATATTTACGATATAGAAAATGTCAAAATATCGTTCAAAAGTTCATAGCTTTTACCAGAGGCTTACTAATGAGGCTTACTTGGTTTTAAAGCCTAAAAAACTAAAATGAAAGCGAAAATAGACACCAAATTGGAACATCATTTAAACTTCTTTGACCAACCAGATGGATAATGCGCAAGTTATCTCTAATATCTATTACTAGTAACTGCAGATGACTTCTTACAGAAGTTTTCTACAGAAAACTTAACGTTTGACTGGAAGACCTTACCACTAACCATGATTTTACCAAATGTCAAGTGGAAGCAATGACCTTTTTGTCTTCTTTTCAGGTTTTTGACACTTTTTATAAATTGGAATTTATTTAAATCATTTTTACAATCCAAGAAGGTTCAAGCATTCAACTTCAGAGAAGTTAACTTAAATTTAGTAAGGCTGAATCCATCATTTAGACCCTGAAACAAATTTTGAAATTTTTGCGTACTCACGTTTCAAAACACTTTTTGATGCGACATCTGAATCTGCTAAAATGACGGGTTTATACCTGCAAGATTTGAAGTCGTCTTCAAGGATACTTATTATCAGCCACAGGATCCAAATAAGATCTACTAGCAGTTACATTTTACCGGTTTAGATGCAGTTTTAGTTGGCCTCACCAATAGATTTGAATCAACTGAAACCACTCGCTATTTAACAAGGATCGAAGAGTTTGTGATTGGATCAAATAACACTGAAATGAACTTCATAAAAAACTTCTAAAAGAATAATTTTTCTTATTATCAAAGACTGCAACTTCACCGGGACCATTTCATTGACGAACCTAACAGAAAAAAAGTTCAATTGGAAGATTTTCAAACAGTTCTAAATTTCATCCGCGCTAAAGAACAAATTGGATTGAAAAGAATTGCTTCGGAAATTGTCCTTTTTTTAAAAAATTCTGGTCTAGCCAGTATTAAGTTGTACAGCAGAATAACTATTTAGTAGTCTCCGTAGACTAAAAACGTTTTTTTAATTGACCATGAGCCAGGAAAGGCTGTAATGAATACCCATAAAGAATTTGTAATGAATACCCATCAAGAAAATACCCGAAGTCTTGAAATTGGATTTTATGTTAGATATATGTTTTAAAAAAAAAACGATACGCTCTGTAAAATGTTTTATTTAAAAACCAAGTAAAAATTCGAACTAAACTTGTTTTTCCTTAACTTCTTGATGCTAGTTAACCAAAATCAAAGTTATTATTTTTTATTTCTATATCAGTTAGCTAATAATTCTTTAAAAGATAATATAAGCTGCCAAACATAAACTGACGAATAATTCAATCATTTGGTGCATCTTTTGACTAGGTTTTAACAAAATTTTTTGTAAAATTTTAAGTTAAAACGTTAAAATGTGCTGGAAAGCAAAAGTTGAAACGTCTTTTTTCTCGTCAGAAACACGCGATTGGTATTATTAATTTTTCTGATCGTTTTACTCATTCAAAACCTTTATTTAACGAAATAAGATTACTTAATAATTATGAAGTAAATTTATATAATACTCTATCTTTTGTATATATTTTTTTTAAATATTTTTACTTTGAAGCAGGACATTAAGTATGCACTAAGAAATAATAATTTGCTAAATCAACTTTTATGTCGAACCAAGTTAAATCAGCTTTGTGTTAATAATCGTGCACTTAATCTTTGTGTTGTTAATCGTGCACTTAATCTTTGGAATTTATTTTGCAAATTTTGATCATTCTTGTTTTCTGCTTAAAAAACTAAGATTTTTTTTTTTTAAACTAAGAACTATTAGATTTTTAAACTTAAAAATCTAGTTCTTTCTAAGGAAAACATTTTTCTATATTACTAAGTGTGTTTTGGGTTTTATGTATATATT